AATCTTTCAGCCCCCATGCCGTCACAAAGCGCCACTGAGCACAACCGTTCATTTGAATAGGGCGCCATCTTGGTCATACGGCAGTGGCAATCATGGACGTTAGAATTTTCATGAAATGTTTGTATTTTTTTAACTGACAGATAAATTACAAAGACATGAACACACAAACAGAACTCATTATGTACCATACTAAATGTTAACGCAATATCTATAGCTTAGGTAGCTACACAAATCGGGAGACCCGCAGAAGCACAGCAAAGAAATTCCTTTTACGATACATTATGTAAAGAATAAAAACTGCATGGCGCCCTGGCAAATGCTCTGGTGTGTACCTTCAGTCTGGTGCACACTGGGAAATCTTGCACAGTTTTTCTAATGTGGTTTTACAGCAAATGGAAAATGAATTCTTCAATCTTCAATCTAGTGCACGAGCAATGCAATAAAAACAATTATATGACCTTTTTGCCCATCTAAGCCAGGAGAAAAGAAAAGGAAGGGCATCAGTACAAAAGTAGCTGTCATATATCTCCTTTGCTTTGATTTTATACAGTTATTATATCAAAACCTTGTCAAACAAAGCCGGTCTCCGCTCCATTCATCCTGGAGCTCTGTCAGCAGCTTGGGGTCCAACTGTTCTTTGGTCCCCGCTCTCTGGGTCTCTCGGAGCATTAGTGCTTCAGTGCATTCATCCTCCTGTGACAAACACCGCGGCTGAGTCACTGCAAGTTGTGAAAATCATTTTAAGTTCCCAGCATAAAAAACGGGGGTCTGCGTTCCCCTGGTTGGGAAACACTGCCTTCGTTGATCAAATATTGTATCAGTCGACGAATCATTTTAAATCAATAATGGTACATGGGAGGACAAACAAGACCGGAGAGAAAACCACAAGCAGGATTTGATCTGGAGCAAAAGTATATAGACGTGATACATTTGCCACGCCCTCTTTTTAGTCGACTAATTATCTAACCGCATTTCTTTAGTTCACCAAGAATTGTCCAATTTGTTTCTATTTCTAACATAGATTATTCCTCAAATGTGCTGCTATAGTCAAAACTAGCTTAATTACTTGATACTTTTTCGAACCCTTTAAGACAGGGTTGTCCAACTGGTTCCAGAAAGGGCCTGTGTGGCTGCAGGTTTTCATTCCAACCAAGCAGAAGCAGATTTATAGATTCATTAATTAGATTTTTCTTCCTCCGACTCTTTTTCAAGTTTGAATACTGTACAATTTTGGAATACGTAATTGTAAATGAATGACTTGCTAGAAAATTCTTTGTAGTGACATTTTATAATTTATGTTGAATGTACATTGAACTTGAAATAAATAATCGCTCAACTCAGAAGCAGTCTAGACTCCACCCATTTCCTGCAGTCTTCAGGAAAAATGGGTGGTGTCTGGTGTGCCCCTGCTTGGTTGGAGTAAAAACCTGCTGCCACACCGGCCCTTTGAGGACCGGTTTGACACTTCGGCTTAAAGGGCAAGCTAATTGGCTGTGCAAGAGTGGTCAGCCTTGCTTCCCATGCCCTGGGAAGAAAATCCTTTAGAGATGTCAGCAGAAAGAAACGGGAATAATGAATGTAAAAAACCTTATTTTTGATAAGCAGGTGACTTCACATTAACCAACATTTATTTTGGCACCATTTCTAAAAGCGCCACTTTTTGAGCTATAATTAGATGCAATTCTAAAACCGTATTTTCATCCACACCGGTAGCAAGACTCCTGTTGAAAGCATTGGACCGTAACAAGACTGTATTCCAAACAGGCTGCATCAAGATGTTTTCAGATCAGGGCCCTCTCCCTGAACAAGCCTTGACCTTTTCCATCAATCTTTGCTAAATACGGAGAAGCCGTGTGCCCTACTTAAGAGCGAAAGGCTTGATTTTGGCAGAACTGACACGCTGGGGGAATCCCTTCCTCTGTCTCAGTTTGAGCTTGTTATTTTGAGCAGGCTGCAATGTGTTACCTGACCTATTTCTACCGTACAGGATTCTATTACAGAAAAAGGCACATATTTTCAACTGGGTTTGCTAAAAGAGCATGAATGAAAAAGGGGTAAACGGTAGTAAATAAATCAAAATAATCTTCATAATATTCTTAAGAACCACTATTGGTAATTGGATTGCCATTTTTTGTTATAATTGTATTTACATTTTTTGAACCAACACACCCCCGCGACCCGGCAACGGATGAAGCGGAAGAAAAAGGATGGATGGAACACACACAGATCTAAGATGACAAAGAGAAACAAATAGCAAATAAATCTCAAACAAAACACTAACTGAATACTATATAAGTTCAAGAGAGATGAGTGCTTCAGTGCAGGGTACATTTGTATCAGGTTCAAGGTTCAAGTAAAGAAGAGATAGACTACACAAAAAATATTCAGAAAAATCACATTTACACAAACAACAATAGGTGCTCATCAGGATCAGCAGTGAAAAAAACACTGGAAGGCACTGTTGACACTAAATAAGAATTCTTTAATGAACAAGGACAAGCATTCCATTAACTGAATACTGTCCACTGTGTTGGACCTCATGTTGATGGAGCTCACCTTAGAGCCGTGGATGCGCACCGTGCCGAGCGCCAAATATCAGCAAGATGTCCGCTGGGCATTGAGTGAGGGGGCTTCCACTGTATGGCAGGTATATTAAGTGCTAAAGACATCGGAGGACTGTTAGCAATACTGTTGAAAAAAATTAAGAAATTCGCAGATATATTGAGATATTCCTTGTTGTCTATTTCAATCACACCAACTTTAATGCCGTTTTATGTAGCTATAATTAACAAACTGAAACCACAATCCAATACTTCAAACCCCACAAAAACACTCACAGAATGCACAGAATGAACTCAAATGGATTTCTGGACATCATGGACATGTGTAGCTTTGCATGTGGGCCGCTCTTACTGACCACGCCACATGCTGCCGTCCCGGTTGGCTTGTTCTTTGCATCTGTTCCTTGAACAAATGCCAAGGGAACAGGGAATCCAACATGGAACGGCTTTTGGAACGTCTTTGGGTGTCGCACGTACAGCGTCATGGCGACCAATCCTGTTCCCCGTTTCCTCGTTCACTTCGTTCCTCAGCCCCATCATGGCGTGTCTTCTACTCTGAGACACTAGCAGCCGGCAGTGCTGCTAAAAAACGTAACAGTGCTGCTAAAAAACGTAACAGTGCTGCTAAAAAACGTAACTAAAAAACGTTCCTTACGTTTTTTAGTTATACGTAAAAAAAAAACGTAACAATTATTAGATTAACCCTTTAGGCGATTCACCTTTTGTCTTTTTCACATAGGATTGCTGAAAAAAGAAAATAAAACAAACTTGTTTCTTACCATTTGTAAGAGTGGAAAGATATAATGTTATGAGCAAATGTACTATCTGATTCAAGGTAACATTTCTAAACTACAATGTAAGGCCATGTAGTAACAGAGGGTGCAGCCTGGAGCCTTGGCCAGCAGAGGGCCTCAGAGTGCGCCAGGCAGATGTGTGGCAATGGAGCAAAATGGTTTGAACATTGGGCTTCATCCAAATTCAGCCAAAGTACATCCTTCCTTACCCTTTTGTGTGCTTTGAAATCCACCTTTTATACCACGGGGTAGCTCCAGATTTGGTCAAGTGAAATCTAACACCGGTTTAAAGTTTTTTATGCCACTTAAGTCACAATTCATGCCACAAAGGTCAATAGAAATGAGATGGAAACGAGAGCAAGGAGGTTTCTTTACTGATTTGTACGCAGACTTTTTCTGCAGCGTTCACGTCCGCCACATTGTTTGTCTTACTCCTTTTATTCTTACTTCTTCTTAATCCGTTTCTACTTAAAACTTGACAACCTGGACAGAAATTTGTGGCCCTAATTAGTAGATTATGAAACACCCTTTTTTCCCACTCATCACAAGTGGTCAAATAACAATGTTTTCTATTCTAAAATTATAATGACAAAACTCCAGAACCCAAGCTTTATATTCCGTTGTTATTTGCAGAGATTAAATTACGATTCCTTAATTGGGACCATTTCAAGCACAGCCCTGTAGTTCAGATGCCGACGCGGGGCCTAAAGCTCAGCTGGTTATGAAGCGGAGAAGCCATTGTGAATAGATCTGATACAACACATCAGGAAATAGCCCTAATCATTTCCGATCGTGATGAATCGACTGTCAGTCAGGAGGCACGAGGGGGCCGTTCATTCAGCCGCACGCCGTATATGCCAATGTGGAGTGGGAGATAATGGCGGCGTGAAAAGGCCACGTTTCATTGGACGGCAACTAATTATGGCGCTACTTGGAGATGATAGCTTCCTGCCTACAAAGACTGCAGATATGTGTGGGGACGGGAATGGGGATGGCGATGGCGATGGCTGGACGCGGTGTGATTTCTTTTAATTAATGCAGTATTTTTCTGTCAGTTAAAACACTTCCATCTGTTTGCAGAAGGAATAAAAGCTGCTTGGGTTTGTTTGCAGCTAATTATGCAACAAAGGAAGGCTCTGAGATGTGCAGTGTGGTGAGAGAAGACGAAGTAGGAGGAGGAACATAAAACATGACCAAAACTGTATTCTTTATTTTTTTTTTCAACCTCATTTGCGCTTTCTCTTTGCTTTGTTTTGCTATTTATTATTATTTTTGGCACTCTTCAGACGGCGTACAACTGTTCAAACCAAACAACAATACAAGGCAGATGGTGCGTCGCCTGAACAAGCAGTTTCCCTTTTTTTTTACTGGAAGTCATTACAAAACACTTTAGGTGCAATATTTTCCCTTCTAATCCGCACACACATGCTTTTGTCGTTTTGGAGATTACAGTTCGTTCTCGAATTTGTGTCCTGCTGTAACGCTTAATGCCGCAGGGCTTTGGAAATGCCTTTAAATAAGTCGCTCCCTTTGCACCGTTGATTCCGCCATTCACCGTGCACCACTGATCCAAGAAATGGAGCTGCTTAACTGTTTAGAGAGTACGATTCGCCTGTAACCTTGTTTGTCCTTCCGTGTCTCCCAGAGCCTGGTGGGGGAGAAATACGGCAGCATTCGGGTGCCGGGGGAGGTGGAATCGGCAGAGTTTGAGATGATCCTGGACGCCGCGGTGGAGGCGGGCCTGGACACACACATACTGGAGGAGTGGTACTGCCGTGACGAGAACTCAGTGCCACCCGCTTACTACCTCAAACCAAAAGCGCAAATGCTCAAGAACTACCAGAACTCTGTAAGTACTGAGCAGAGAGGATTAAGAGGCTTATCATCCAGTTTCAGAGCAAAAAATTAGAAAATGTACAGTAATATATATAATACATACTGTCCTATTGCATGCTAGTTAGAGATGTTATGCTTGCTTCTTTATTATGAGATTTTAAATAAAAGATCTCTTAATCTTAATATTATAACAAGATGTGTCCTCTTGTGTGGGAGAAGCAAAGTGAATGTCAGTTATATAGCTATATTTAATTTCACCACTTTTTGCATGAATTCAAGATAAAAGCGAAAACATACAATTGTAGAATTCCAGTGTAATGAATCAAGGACAATGTGCAGTTACATTAAAAAGATCTAGTCCTGGACAATATAACCAAATGACATACATAAATCATTAAAACACAATAATTTTCCTATATTTCTGTAAACGTTGCCCTGTACAAAACTCTTGATCCCAGAGGTTACAAAAATGACAGATTTCTGACCTGCACTAAGTCTGTCTGAGATGGACTGAGCGTGTGTCTGAAGGGTAGATTGAGACGCTTCCTCTTCCTGCCCCCGTTAGATGGAATCAAGCAGTGTGACCAAAAGCAAGAACGACAAGGCCTGGAGGACCGTGTCAGAGGAGATCAAGCGCATCTTCCGGACAGCCGTGCTGCAGCTTCAGGAAAAAGGGACCATGAAGATCGTCCAGGCCAAGAAATTCCTCTGCTCCGGTGAGTGTCCGTTCTATACCTGCACAAGGAAATGTGAAGAGCAGGTCTGCAAGGTCAAGTCAGGACTGCAAAGAGAAAAAGCAGTGTTGAGATGACTAATGTTTTACAGATAAATGTAAAAGTTATGAAAAAGAATGGATCAGATGGAGGCTGGTTCAGAGCTCTTTAACACACGGTATAACATGAACATAATAATAATAATAATTTGCTTTTTTGGACACTCAAAGACGCTTTACATGTCATTATTCTTTCACTCCATACACAGTGGTGATAAACTACTACTGTAGTCACAGCTGCCCTGGGGCACACTGACAGAAGCGAGTCAACCAGTATGTGCCATCAGCCCCTCCGACCACCACCAACCATTCACACACACACCAGACTCATTCTAGGCAATGGGGGTGAAGTGTCTTGCCTAAGGACACAACAGTTTGGCACTTTACAACCACAGCCGACTGTGGCATCAGGTGTTCCCAGAGGTTAAGTGTCTTGCCAAGGGCACAATGACAGCAGACATCAGTAGAAGTCGGTGGAGAAAGTCTTGTGGTGGGCTCAAACCCACAACCTTCTGGCTCAAAGGCCAATGCTCTACCAACTGAGCTATTGTCGCCTCTCATATGCTTTACTTGAATGAAGCTGAAGTTGGCTAAATGATTATTGCTTATTTTCTCACCATCTACAAACTCATTAGTAGAAGTGCTGCTGTAACAACTGAGCTTTAAAATGAGGTATAACATAAATATATTGGTAGAAATAAAGTTTTCCCAAGACAAATAAAAAATCTTTAAAAAATTATTCTCTTTAAATTAGGCTTATCAACTATTTTTCAAAAAAAATTCCCAGCCCAAACTTCTAAGCTGATTCCATATTGTATTATTCATCTTTATATGTTTCTCTGTTGTGGTTTAGTGTTGCTGGTCAAGTCCTCGTTGAATCCTGGTATGGGTTTGACAATTTGGCAGAGCAATTATAGTTCATTACTTCATAGTTGTGTAAAAGTTATTAGTCAACTTAGACGGCAGTAACTCAATAACTCTGCTGTAAAATCCACACAGCCTTTATGTTGTCATAGTTATCAGAGGTTGAATGTTTTCTATAACAGTTAGAGTATTTTTCATATTACTAATCTTACTGTACTTACTCAATGTGAGAGTGAGATGGTTTGGGGGCCGCCTGTAAGTTTCTGCCCTTTGATCTAAAGTGCATAATCGCAGTTAAAGTTTTATAATTCGATTCAAATTAAAAGCACTCGGCTTGTTTAATTCCGTCTAATTGAGCTCTCCGGGCTTTATGCTGCACTCCGCCGTAACAAAGAGGAAGTTAGTCTTTAGGAAGTCCCAACTTTGCTGCTCTCTGCTCTCATAATTATCCCATGTGAGCGCAGTGTGGAGGCTGGCGGAGCTGCTGCTTTGTGGGGGAGCCCAGGATAAAGCTCTGTAACGCTGGCTTAGGAGATTTTTATCTATTTTGTTTGGTCTTAAAAAAGGCCTGAGTGAAATCCGGCCAATCACAGGCTAAAAGGCCCCTCAGCGGCAAGAGACTCGACAGCCTTTTGATGGTTATCTATATACGCAGCTTTAATCACAGCCTTAGATCGGGACTTTCATGTAAATTAGAATCCTTGAGTTAATTTGTAATGCAGTAATTAGTTCAGGAAACATCGACAGCTGTTGTATTCAAGTGTTATATATTTTTTTCTTTTCATAGACCGATGAAAACATTTTGTGCAAAAAGAAATCCAGCTTTGTATGTTATGATTGTTGTGGTTTTTCCCATAAACTAACATTATTTGCTGCTTTCATACAGAACATACTGTACAAAACATATTAGTAGAGAACTTATCGTGTGTCTGCGGAAATCATGTTTTTTAGTGTTGTCACAATATTCACATTTTCAAAACACATTTTCTACACTAATGAATAGAACTGAATAGTGTTTTAGATTTTTGTAGTCACCAGCAATAATTAAAAAAATTTGAAATATAGGATATCATTTTTAACTCAAAATAAAAGTATTAAATTAGAACATGTTTTGCAGTATTTCCTGGATATGTACCATTTAATTTGTTTGTTTGTTTGCAATAAATAACTTTTGATACTAATTTTACTATCAATTTTATTAATTTGGTGTTTGATTATTTTGACAACCTTATTCATTTATATACATACAAACATATACTGTATGTACTTATGCTTATATATATATATATATATATATATATATATATATATATATATATGTATTTTCACCATATCACACAGTCGACTTCAACAAAACTCTTTCTCATATCAAGTCTATTTAAACACAAAAAGGCACTTTTATTCGTATGGCTCATTTCATACAAGGCAACTCTAAAGTTAAAATCATAAATAATCACAGTATGTGCTATTAATATCTGCTGTCAATGATTATAAATCTACTCATAATGCTAACTCTAATCGAGTTTACCACAAACTGTTGGCGCTATGGAAATACTAACGGAAATATCTTTCTGATTTCAGCTCTGGAGGACGAGCTCGACTTTGCCCTCGGAAAGCAAACCCCTGCCTTTCTCAGGAAATGCGTCTGCTACATCCGGAAGATCTCCAACTTCGACCGCTTCGCCAAACTCCCCGAGATGGCCAAGTACATGGACATCGTGGTCAGCAGCGACCGGATCATGCGCAACCAGGAAGCCTACGAGCGCCTTCTCAAAGTGCGAGACGAGTTCATCCCCACCGTGGTCGCCGCCTCCAACCTCCGCGTCTACTCGTCCGTCACCCACTGCGACATGAAGCTGGGGTACTCACAGGAAGTGGAGAGCAACTACGTAGAAGGCCTTTGTAAACAGTTCTACGAGGATATGGTGGATATAATACAAGCCACGGTCCAGCAGAACTTCGACACGGAGACTGACGCTGTTTACGATGAGATTCTGCAGCATCTGTCGCTCTGTAAAACCTACGCAGAGCTGTACGAGTATCCGAGTGAGACGCTGGACTATATACAGGAGTATCTGATGCCGTCCAAAGGGAGCCGCATGAGCCCTATGGTGCTGTACGGCGGGCCCTGCACTGGGAAGACACTGCTGCTAGCTGAAGTCGCCAAACAGGTTATGAATGTGTTTATGCATTTTTGTATTTATGTATTCACGCTCTGTCGGGGTCTCCAATGTAGAATGTGTATTTGGTATTTATGATTTATTTATTCAGACTTTGTTGACGACTCATATGCAGCCACAGGAGGATCCATTGGTAAAGTAGGTTCAGAATAGATTCCTCAACAATTTAGAGGATCACTTTTTGAGTCACTATATCTACTTGAAGCATGCTTGGAACTGCAATCTACCTCATTGGGCCACCTCTATCACTTGGGCCTGGTTGGGACGCAGTTTGATTGTAAAAAATGCCTAATGGTTTAAAAATCTTTGAAAAAATCGTATCAAACCTCCTCCTCATTTCTTTACCTGCACTGTAGAAGTGAAATTCGAGTTCATCTATTTCTGGAATTCAGCTTAAAATGTGAAACCAATATATTTAGACTCAAAACATGCAAAGGGACATTTGCCAAGCTTTTGTTTGGGATAATTTCGACAATTATGGCTTACAAAATATTTTCAAAAATTCAAATTTCTAGATGTTTTATTTGGGGTTTTTACAGCTGTGAACCAAACACAAACAAACGCTTAATATATCAGTGCAATGTGCTAAATTGTTGTCTAATTTCATAATTATAGAAGTAAATGGACTTTTGATCAATATTACAGTTTTCTGAGTTTCACTTGTAATTCACGTGCTTTTCTAGTTTAGTGGAGTATGAGATAAAGTAAATGCTTAAACGGCAAACTGAATAGAGGAAAAAGTATGATCAAAACCAAATAAATTATAATGTTGTTGTTTCTTCGGATCGCTGCATGCAATTTCATGCCGTTCACATCAGTGTCATTGGAGCTAAATCATCAAATTGTACCAATATTATCCATGTTGTCTGTTAGCAGGAATTCTAATTTAAATTAATAATTGAGAAAAATGCAAAATGGCTCGCAGGCTATACTTGATGTGTCTTGTGTACTTATAAACGTGAAAATACATTATGAAGACGAATATTATGTTAAGGCTACAATGCACGTAGTATTTTTTTTATTGACTTTGGCTTGGACTGAGTTTTGACTTTCAAATATCCAAGTAAATTATTGAAATATATTTTTGTCTGAAAAAGATGCAATGCTTTAACAGTGGAGCAGTAGCTAAATAAATAATTTCTTTTATAATTCATTCCCATATTTTAATAATACCAAGTGTGTTTTGGGGACATTAAAGTTTTAACCATGATAGAGTAGCTGAAGAGGTTATCTAAAGGACAGTATTGAAATATCATTTATCATCTTTATTATCAAGGTTTCAGAAATCAAAATCTCAATGAATGATACATGATACTGATACTGACTCGAGGCTGACTGAATATGTGTGCGTGTTTTGTTTTTTCAGGCATATTCATGGCTGCAGAAGGAGATGGGCCCCGAGACAGATCCAGTGGTGATTGTTCGATTCATCGGCTCGTCACAAGCGTCCACAGACCTCCGGCCGCTGCTGCAGAATATCTGTGAACAGATCGCCCTAAACTACCGCTGCCTGATTCACTTTTTGCCTAACAAGATCAAGGAGATGAGAGAACTCTTCATCAACCTTCTCGGGGAATCCTCATTTCAAAGACCATTGGTTATTCTGCTGGATTCCCTGGAGCAATTATCAGACGCAGATGAAGCCAGAAAACTGTGGTGGCTTCCCATGCATTTGCCTAGGACGGTCCGCATTGTAGTATCAACGTTGCCTAACAAACACGGCATCCTACAAAAGCTTAGAAACCTCATCCATGACGACAGGAACTATGTTGAACTGTTGCAGAGAGATCGTAAAGTGTGTAGTCAAACATTAAAGCAGCAGTTACTGAGGGTTAAGAGAAAAGTCACCTCAGGACAACAAATTTATGTCAATGAGGCGCTGGCCAAGTGTACATTACCCATGTTTGTCAATCTTATCTACAGAGAAGTGGTCCACTGGCGCTCACACAAAGATGTGGACGACCGCTCTCTCTGCTCCGCGGTGCATGAAAGCATTGAGCAGCTTTTCTACTCCGTGGAGAACAAATTAGGCCAGAGGTTTGTCTTTAGAGCACTGGGCTATATCACCATGGCCAAAGCAGGGTTAACTGAGGTTGAGCTAGAGGATATTCTGTCCCTAGATAACATAGTGCTTGGGGACGTTATAGTGGCAACTTACCTCAAAAATCCTTTGAGGATTTCTTACGATTTGGTGGCAAAGCTGAAGGAAGAGCTGGAGGGTTATCTAGTGGAAAGACAAGTACGAAATGTTACCCTAATGGTCTGGGCCAACAGGCACCTGCATCTTATCGCTCAGAAGCTTTATCTCAGTAATGAGGAGGATGTCCACCAAATGCACAGTCTTTTAGCAGAGTATTTTCTGGGGGCTTGGTCTGGGGGCAGAAAGAAAATATTTACTTATGATAACAACCACTTTACTTCTCTGAACATATCCCACCACAAAAACCCTCACCATCAGCAGTCCCACGAGAAGACCTCCTCTGATAAGTACTCTTACGACAGGCAGACGCCAGAGCAGCCCTGGGTCTTTCAGTGCAATCTACTGGAGCCAGACATCTTCTTTGTGAATCATAGGAAGATGACAGAACTGGTCTTTCATCTCACTCGCAGTGGGAGGACAGACGATCTCATGTTTGGTGTGATCATGAACTTCAGCTGGCTCTACACAATGATTAAGATTGGTCAGTTTGACAAGGCCTTAACTGATATTGATGTAGCATACAGCTACTCCCAAGAAAAGGAACTCAAGTTCTTGGCCACTACTCTGCGCAGTATCAAAGTAAAGGTCCTAAAGAACCCTGCATCATTGTCTGCGGAGCTCCAGCAAAGGCTCCTACCAGTCGTCACCTCTCTGCCTAAGCTCAGACACCTCCTTCTGGAGTGCGACAAAGATGGTCCAAAGTACTGCTCTATAGTGCCTCTACACTCCTCTATGGACGTCACTTACAGTCCAGAAAGGCTGCCTCTCTGCTCTAGCTACATGCAGATAGTGGAGATCCTGCCCACTCTAGCTCCTAACATAGTCCTTGTAGCCTTGGAAGACGGCTCTGTTAGCACATGGGACGTAGAGAGCAGACAGCTGCTGAGACAGATCGACACAGCACGATCTGTTGTTTTGGGGATCCGGTTAACTACGGATGAGAAGTACCTGGTTGTAGCAACAACCAAAAACACGCTGCTAATCTATGATAATCACAAATCCTGCCTTTTATCTGAGGTGGAGATCAAAGGTTCAAAGCATGGTGGTGTTGCTGGGAGTGTGGCCTTCATCAATGGTTTTACCTTGTCAACACATCATGCTCTGGCCTGGCTGGAGGCCAGTAAAGATGTTAATGTGATCGACTTGCTCTACGGTTGGCCTCTTTACCAGTTCCACTGCTGGTATGAGGTCACGTGTGTCCAGTGCTCACCTGATGGAATGTATGCCTTCTGCGGACAATACCTGAACACTGCATCCATATTTCATCTGGGGAATGGGGACAAGCTGTCTACTATAACCTCTGAGTTCTCTGGGGGCTTTGTTAAGTCAATTCTGATTCTAGACACCTTAAATCAAATGGTGATGATAGACAATGAGGGCAGTTTGTCAGTCTGGAACACCAAAGAGATAATAAACCCTCGGCTAATGGAGGATTATGATTGCAGAGGAGATGACAGTGAGGTTGTGGGCATTGAATTATCGGAAGACCAGAAGTCCATTCTTATTTGCAAAGATAGAAGCATTGAAGTTCTAGACACCAAGCTTTGGAAAATGGTAGAGAAGTTCAAAGCCAAGCGAACAGAGCGCTTTGTTGCTGCAGTGCTCTCTAAGAATGGACAAAGTATTGTAGCGTCCATGGAAAACACATCCTCCATCTTTGTGTGGAGGAGAGACAGTGGACAATGCATGGCTAGCCTCATCGAAATCTCAGGGGCTATTGTCAAACTTATCAAATCAACCCATCACAATCTGCTGCTTTCAGTTGCCAGCAGTGGAGTCCTGTCTGTTTGGGACATTGACATTATCACAGCCATGTCCAACATTGACAAAACCGGCAAGAAAATCCAGTCTCTGCAGCTGTCCAGCAGAGAGGACTATGTCTTTACTATGGACGGCTCAGAGGCTGTGCACAAATGGAACTTCAGCACAGGCTTTATCGAGACGGTGTTCAAGCACGAGGGCATAGTGGAGAACTGTGTCCTAACCTCCTCAGGGGATCTCATGGTCTCGACCGACGACAAGTCCAGCCAATACATCTGGCAAACCACCACTGGTGAAAACATATTCCGCATTAATGGACAGAGGGTTTCTCAGCTTCTCATCACTCACAATGACCAGTTTGTGGTGTCTCTTTGTGACCAGAACGTTTCACGCGTCTGGAGGCTAGCTACCGGGCACAAAGTTTGCAACATTTTAGTAACTCTTCAAAAGGCATTAATCACGACGGCGAACACGTTTCTGGTTGGAACTTCGAAAAACAAACTACTTGCGGTCAGCTTGTGGTCTGGCAGTGTATCCAAAAAGTTCATATGCGATGACGGGATCACCATTGTCAACTTCAAGCTCATTCCCGACTGTCCCGACTGTGTGGTTTTCATCACATCAACAGAAACTGTATTCATCTGGAGCGTTGCAGATGAATCGATTTGCAGACGAGTGCAGCTGCCAGCCAACTTCCTCAAAAATCTTGAAGACTTTCAAATTTCCCCAAATGGCAAAGTTGGCATTGTCTCAAAGGGTGATGAAAACATTAACGTTCTTGATCTCCACAGCGGTAAGCTAAGACTTGTCCATGCTGCCGGGATGATCTGGAAGCAGAAATTGTCCCGAGATGGGCGCTATTTAGTGTATGTGTGTTTTCGTAACTGTGAGGAGGACGATGAAGCTGGAGTTGTGTCGAATTTGATCGTGATGCGCCTCGCTGATGGTAAAAGTATTGGCACATGTTCCTTGTACAAGACACCCACATTTTTGTCTCTCTCCCACCGGGCATTGAATATCATCATTGGCTTTGAAGACGGCAGCATCGGCACATACACTGTTGTGGATCGTGTCGATGCTACCCTAAAAATCAAAATTGCCACCTCCAACAGTCGCCAGATAGTTAATAACGCTTCACAAAAGCTGCGGCCAAAATGTGGCAACCATTCCTTTAAGACTGTAGCGGACTGCACGTGGAGGGAGTCCACAGAGGTCTTCTCGCGGGACAGTCCCATAAATGTTTCAGACTCTGGGGAGGGGGAGTCCACCACGCCAACAAAAAAGACTGAACTGCTGCAGTGATTGGCGTAAAACCAGGAAGTGGGCCGAATCTCAGTGTGAATCTCTGGGGTGCAGTTGTTTTCTTGTTTACAGCCACGTGAATCAGCTGCAGATGTCAGCCCTTTGGGTAATATATGGGCGGAGTAACTTAGCGCTGCACTCAACCTGTTACTAGAATTACTTCCAACCTACAATACAGTTTTACACACTAAGACTGTTAGAACAAAAAATTGTGTCTTGAAAAGAAGAAAAAATTTACATTTTCTGCCGGCTTAGTTTGCCATAATGTGTCCTTTTTGCATTTGAAGAACAACATTTAATTTCAAGTTGCCATGAACCTTTGAAACCATTCCACTGTTTTCAGGCTATGGTCACATTAGCTTTCTTGTTCGCTGAAATAATGACCTGACATTTCAATAAATCTGCCTGCTTGCACTGAAATGAAACGGATCATTCTACCACTACTACTACTACTACTACTACTACTATTTCTGTGGGCTAATGTGACCTCAGCCTGTGATATTTCATTGTTTGCGTTTGCACATTCTACTATTGTTACGTTCAAATCCACGTCAGTCGGTACTGTATAAAAAAGACCTATGAACATACTATGTACATATCTCTTTTTGGCTGCTGCAATTTGTGCAACTACTGTACTTATAGAAAATGTTCTGTTGTGCTTAATGCAATCAAAGTGAGTGCCTGGAAATTTCAAATATTTCTCTATATGTGCAGACAAGAGCGAGTCAAAATGCAGGGAATTTGTAAACTTGAGAGTAAGACGCACAGAGTTGCATATTTGCATTAAGTCATTAGACAATTCAAATGCGTTTTGGAAATTCTAAATTTATTATTATTGTTTATGATTATAGTATCAGCATATTTTTGCGTACCTTAGTGTCAAATTACCTGCAGTTTCATGAATGTCTGTGCCATCTATATATTGTACGTATGTATTTATTTTAAGGGGAAACCACTATGAGCATAAAGTGTAGCATAGCACCATAGACATCCTCGCCTTAAGATGTTGCTTTAGATATAATGGAGATTATTACAGAGAGAAAGAGAAACATGTGAATATATAGAGATTTAGAAAGTAAGCACTTTATGTGTGGTTTATTAGAAAAAAAAGATTTATTACAACTATTGATAAAGAAATTGACTACAGTATATACAGTGTTTTAAGTGACCTAGACGTATCCTCGATGGGCTTCGCTGCCTTTCACTCTTCGGGACATCCAGGTACTTGCAAGTTACCATCAAGTTTCTCACAATTGAGCACGACACCACTCAAACAACAGTTAGATGTAGTCTGCTGACAATCTAAAACACGAGACGGTTTTTTGCAGGTACCGTGATGGCTTTGGTAAGCATGTCTGTTTTAACCCAAATGTTTTTATTTGGTTCAGATAAGATGCCAGGCATGATTAAAAAACAACATGGCAACGTTTCCACGTGTTCATATACTTTTTAAGGGCTATTCCATCTTTTCTATGTTTACTCTAGTTTACAAAATTATGGCCCGTGGGTAGTGTCTAACTGGGTAGCAGCACCAAGCTTTAAAATATTTTCTTTTTATCAATTTAAAAAGAGTTTATCTTGTAATTGCCAAAGTCCAGATGATTTGTTTTTGAGGCTTGTACTGTAAAGATATTGTTACCAAATTGTTTTAGTGTTGAACTGTGATTCTGTTTATGATAGAGAAATGTGCTATCTTTGCTAACAAGTATTTAAAAGAGTCCTTCTACTATTATATTGGAATGCCAGTTTTAAGAGTATATTGAATGTGACCATATGGAAGCCAGTACACGGTATTATTGTATGTTTCCGTAACTTGAATGACTTTTAATAACTTACATGTTTGCAGCTCATTGTTGAATGTTTCTATTGTATTCTTTGTATCGTCAGAGCTGACTTTACCTGTTTAGAGATTTATATTTTCATAAATGTTGTACTTACATTTTGTTACAGAGTTGTTTAACTGGATTGAGCAGAAAAAGAAAAATTATGTCTGAAGCAATATGAATCTAGTGTGTATGCATCGTTTGTATGGAGCATTTTAATGTAATAAAACGGTTCTCTTTTGGCCCATAAGTGAGACGCATGCCAACTTTTCATGGAATTGAATGAAATTTCTGATTTTGGATCTATTTGATTGGGTGCAGTGGGAAAACAACAAGTCCATATGTTGTCACAAGCCCCCTTTAACCTTTTTATCCATCTACACTGCACTGCATGGTGGAACTGGCTCTAATTCGTGGTTTCCAAGTTTAACTAATGGCAGAGGGAGGCTGTAAAATGATTTGATAGGCTGGTAATTGCTCCTCTGTGCACAATGCTGGATGCCAGACAGGCGTGTGGAAGATTTCTCCAACACTCGCTGACATTGTCAACATAATTAGGCCAGATGTGTGCGGGGCACCTGCAGTGACCCGCAGCACCAAGCACACGGAGGCTGGAGCGTGTTTGTCAACTCAATAAATGATAGAAGTTTGCAAAAAAAACTATTGACTTTTTTAATATGCGTACAATATGTAAGCACAGAACTTTATTTATAGAAATTAATAAAGGGGTTAAAGCTGGGATACCTCACTTTTTTCATTAATATTTCATGTTGTTTGTCCAACAGAAATAATCTTGTAAAAAGTAAATGGTTGTGAACACATCAGACATGCTCTTGTGTAGTTTTCTTTTGCATAAGAAAGAGTCCTATGAGCCACTATTTGACTTTGGTTTTTTCTCTATTTTCTATCTATTTTATTACATTGTTAATTTTGTTGTCACTTCAAAGTTATGTACCCCAGCTTTAAGGACATGGCACATGAAACATACCCTCTTATTATAAAAGAGATATTGCAATGATATAATATTATTGAAAAAGATCTATTTCACTGAAATTCACATGCAATAACCTGCAGAATTTACTTGTTCAACAGCTCAAATCTCATTATAAATAGAAAATAACAAAAATGGATGATAATGAATTAGTCCTATTATTAAGTTCTACGGTTTTGTTAAGTCCTCTGAGATAACTACTGTTGTGATTTAGGGCTATACAACAATGAATTTAATTGATATCACACCCAGAGACTCTATATGGATCCCAAATGTATGCGCAATTTTAAACAAAAACAAAAAAATGTGTATAAAAAATGTATAATGTTATAATGAGATTTATAGAATTAGGTTACGTTTATGTTATGTTATGTAATATTAATATTAAATAAAAAAATGCATTATATAAAAATTGCAGGATATTTGGCTAACTATATTAAACATAATAAATAATCTGAGCTATTAATTTTAACTGCATTTTATCACTTATGGTTTTACCTGTAACTTAAACTTCCTAATGGTGTCACTCTAAGCCTTTGTATGGTGTGTGTGTGTGTGTGTGTGTGTGTGTGTGTGTGTGTGTGTGTGTGTGTGTGTGTGTGTGTGTGTGTGTGTGTGTGTGTGTGTGTGTGTGTGTGTGTGTGTGTGTGTGTGTGTCTGACATCACCACCACAGAAGCAGCAGGTCCTCCCTCGGTGTCGTTCTAGTCCCTCCCCTCTCATTGTAATGACAGCTCATGTCTATGGCGACTGCTTCTCTTCAGGCCTTATAAAAACATGGGCTGGACTCTGCGGGCACATTCCACCTGCTTCATATAATTACAATGGTGTGTTTGCAGAAGAGGAGGTCTCCACAGGTCACACAGAGCAGCCCAGTGTTTGAGAATATGACAGCACTGTATGGCTCATGTGTTTGCTGAGACCAGAATAGCTCCAGCTTTTGTCTTGGGCATTTATTATGAACCAAAACCACTCCCCTCGGCGTCACCGTGCTTCACTGTGGCTGTATGTGATGTGATTTCATATTGTTAGAAGTATTTGTGTTCTGTATAGTATAGCAAGTAATATACGGTAGAATATTTGTGGTATTGGTGGCACAGCAGCAGATAGAAAAAAAGTCCTACTTTTGATTCCACGTCCAGATTCAGATTCAGATTCAGATTCAGATTCATTTATTTGCCATTTGCAGTAAAATCACATTGGAAAAACTGTGCAAGACTACCCCGGTGCGGAGTTTGCATATTTTACCCATCTCTGCATAGGTTTCCCTAGCCACTAAAAGCATGAGGTATGAATATAAGTGAACGGATGGCGATGGTTGGAGCGTCCAGGGAGCCAGGTGTCGGCATCTTGCTTCTGCCGTCTCCGTGTGTGGAGTAAATAAATAACACCAAAAGTGCTTTGTATGAACTAATAGGTGTGTAAATACTAAAGATTTCTTTCTTACTAATATTACAGAATAGTACTTTTTTAAACGTATGTCTATACATAGAAACTTAGGCTAATAATTAAATGTATATGTTTGTAATATTAAATAATATATGCTTAATTCCAAAAAAAACATGCCACCAACTGCCATTATTTTTAAGTAAAGTAAATGGTCAAAATATTAACAAGAAAACCAAAACATATTTTTTGTAGGCCTTTATATTTACTTTTTACTCCTCCCTTTGAGGCAACTGCTACAGTCAGCTCAAAGTACTTTACAAAATTGTACATTTGCCAATAGCATTTAAGGAAATCATTTAGGTCAAAATAGACCAGAGGCAAAAATTAAGCACAGTTCACAGGAAATGGGCAAATAGAGAAATGTCCCAGAGCATCCCCTGCTTAGATTCTTCTTCTTCTGCAGGAAAAACAAGACATAAAATTCAATAAGAACCACAATGAAGGAGTAATCTAGTCCCAGACTGTAGATGAGGACTGACGCGCCTGACGCGGTTTAGTTCTTTAGGACAAGTGCATGATAAATCAATTTGCTTCAATGTTAACAACAACAACAACTTATTCTTGTGTAGCCCTAAATCACAACAGAAGTCATCTCAGAGGACTTAACAAAACCATTGAAATCACCAACACAGATCAGAGAATCGACAGTTAAGACACAAAAAATACACATATGAGTTGGTCCATAGGAAGAGACCAATGACCATGAATGTTGACAAATGTCCATCCATGTTGTAGAATGTTAAAGTGTCCTGGATCATCACCACAGTCCTTCTAGTTGGACACTAACTGCCCAACAGACCCTCCTGCATCAGCAAGGAAAAACTCACAAAAACCTAGTGGGAAGAAAGTGAGAAACCTCGCGGAGACCCACATTTGAGAAAGGGATCCGCTCCTACACGGACGGACGGGCTGTTAATGGGTGCTTTTCACTTTTGGCACATGAGAAAATGCTTGATAAATATTTATGTGTATGCTTGTCTGTTTCCCAAAGAAATGTTTTAAATGTAGACAATTGTTAGTAGACAATATGTTCATGAATACAGAAAAATCTCAATAAGAACCTTGGACATCAGAAAGGAAATCTGACTCCCTCGCTGCCCATGTTTGACCAACTAAAAGCTCAAATGTGTGTGATAATATTTGGAGAGATAAATCTATCCAATTTCATTCAGCTCACAAAAAAGTCAAATCTCTGCATTTATGAAATGATCAGAGCAGGTCTTTGTCTGTGAAGCAAGTCAAACAAAATCATCACACAAAGTCCAGTACTATGGCTTAGGAAACTGATGGACTCATTCCATCTTTTATCTTTTTTTTTCCACCAAAGACTTGCGCAAAAAACAAGTAATTTGTCCAGTTTCATTCCAGGATTCTCAGTAAATATAGACTACTTCTGTCATAATCACATAATTTCTTCTATATTGACCATAACATCAATTCAGCTGAAACCAATATTGTCATTTCTGCAGAGGTATGAAACACTGCCTTTGTGGATTTACTCCCAAACCAATAACGTAGCTCTTCAAGTCAACATTTAAATACATTTATGCATGTTTTCTATTCTAATCTATTATTCTTGCGTCTCTTTGATAAAACTTGCCCGCATACATACATACCAGAGTGCTTGCGGACGTCACTGCTGCGTGGCCCAACAAAGAGAACATTGAGTCGTGTTTGTCCATAGATTAAAGTTTCTTGTGTTGGTTCGGGTCAGACAACACGGTCACAAAAGAGAAGATCATTACTGCTCAGTCACGCACACCAAGGAGCATGATACCCTCTGAAAGATGCTGTGAAAAAATGTGAAAAACTTGTGTGTGTGTGTGTTTCCTAATCACTAAACAACTCCTGGATGAAGATGTGAGAGGATTCTTCTTGACTGTGCAGTGGCCATGCTGCTGCTGTCAAAGCTATGGCACTGCATGTAAAAGAGGAAGTAGTATTATAAGCAAATGTTTTTGACCAAACAAAAGGTTGCATGCAAATATTTGTTGTGTTTCATTTTTAATCTCATCAGGTTTATGTCAACCTTTATGAATGGAATGACATCTGTTTAAAAAAGAAAAGAAAAAAGGACTACACATTCAGCTTGACCATATTCATATTTTCAGTGACAACCAAGAGCTAGCCAATTTGCTTTGGAAAAGTTTGAAAAGTTCCATCCCTCCACCCACTATCTTTCGATTTCTTCTTTTGCCGTGTTGCGGGGGCAGCAGTCTGAGCAGAGATGTCCAGACTATATCCACACACACTTCATATACAGCTTTGAAAAAATTACACATTATTAATAACTTTTAAAAAATCGAATAAGTAAAACTACTTTGTTACAGCCTCAAGAAAGTACTTAGGTTATTGCCCCTGTACTGAAATCCGTCCTCTGCGTTTGACCCATCCTGACCGCCGCAAAGGACTCTGTCAGGAGCAGCGGTTGCCGTGGAAAAGCACCCAGAGACACGGGAAGAATTTGCAAACTCCACTCAGAAAGGTCCTGTTCCAACTGGGATTTGAACCCAGGACATTCTTACTAAGCCACAGTGCTCCCCAGAAAGACAAGGAAAGTTTTTAAACAAGGCAATTCAGAGTGATGAACAAAACAAGATAAAAAAAACAATCACACAAGCCATAAATAATCATGGTACATTAAAAAGAATGACGATACAATCCTTCAGTTGCACGCACAGCTAAACGGAACTGTGCACTATGCTTTATCAAAATACAAATACATTACACTGTGTCTTTGTGTTAAACAGTTTTCAGATTTATTTTTATGACTGACTTACTGTATGGCCAAGACTGATGACAGAATTGTATTTCTATTATCATTATCAAATCTCAAAGAATCTCAGACTTGGTCATAAAATCCACATGCTGTAGAATCCAAGGAGATATTCTGTATGCGCAGGAGAACATTTTAAAAATATTTGACTTTGTGAATGCAGCAGGAGCTTTGCATTTCACCGCTCAGTCATGCCTGGTATCTCTGCCACCATCCTGCTCACTGCGCAACATATTAAACAGCTCCTGCGTTTTGATTTCCTTATATTTTCATATAGGGCCGACAGTAGCTCAGTTGGTAGAGCATTGGCCTTTGGGCCTGGAGGTCGTGAGTTCGATTCCCACCATGGGACCTACTCCAACTGATGACTGCTGTCGTTGTGTCCTTGGGCAAGACACTTAACCCCACATTGCCTGAAGCCCCCCGCTGAAAGATCAAGGCTGTTTCATAATTGACGGAGCAGCCATCTTCCTGTGGACTCACCCCCTGCAGAAGATCAGCGAGGGACTGGTGCTATGAGCGTTGGGTGGCAGCTCTCATTGCCATCCCCCCGACCTTATCCCCCCAAAGGGGTTGAAAATGAAATGAAATGAAAATATTTTCATACTTAGTTTTCGATTCAAGCCTCATCTATTCCTGTTTAACCTGCTCGGGCAAACATCCTGGAAGCATTGTTCTCATTACTGTTGGTCAATAAACAATTTGTCAGTTTAACCATCCACAAGTAACCTGGCAAGTTAATGTTTGTCAACTGTGACACTTATATTGAGGGAAATATGGTGCAATAAAATGCAACTTTAATAATAAGAAATGATGTCCTGGATTCAGACGCTCATAGAAATCCAGTTTCTAAACAGTGAACTCCTTTTTGGACTATATTTTACCTGGAAATAAGAGTGATACAAATTATTTTTATCTTTCACATTTCCAGGAGATTGATATTTCCTGACAAAAATTTTACTTTTGATGTTCATAGATTATCCTGGATTATGATAAATGCGAGATTATATTGCAAAACTGGATTTGTCATGCAGGTATTTTTGGCATCGGACACATCTTTAGATTTCTTTTCACAGAATAACAGTAAATCAGCCATCACCCAGCCAATCATGATTAAGAGGTCCCACGGTGGGGAAATGTCAATGTTGCATCACAAGTTACAGACAGTAGGAATGAGGAGCACACAGCACAAGATAAATGAATAATAACTCTCTACTAAAATAAAATAAAATCTATAATCCATAAAACTAACTAGCATAACAATAAGCAATATACAATCTGTAGCTTTAGCATAGTAAGGAAAGAAATCTAAAATCTCCAACTTTAGCATGAAGAAGAAGCAAGAAGCAAGATATGTGTTGGGACAAAAACACAACATGTATTTATGAAACAAACACAAGTTAGGTACGCTTTAAACGCTTCCGGTCAAAGCTTTTACTTTGACAGCTCATACCGGAAGCCCGCGCGCGTGTCTTTTGCAGCTTCACGTGGTCCAGTGGTTTCCAGACGACGTGCATCAGCTTTGTAGATCTATATACAGACCGCGCTGCAACAAGAGAGACATGGAACCACACAGCCACGGCGCGGGAACCCTTCTCACCCCCTCTCCCGAACTCAAACCTCTCTAAAAACAACTTTTCTTTCATGTCTTATCACCGAGTTCTACTTTTAAAGGACCGTAAGACAAGTTAAATGTCCGTAGAAGTGATCGGTGCATGTTTGATACCCAGAGCGAAGTGCCACACCTTCGCTTAGCTCTACAGGTAAGTCTATAACAACCTGTTTATTACTATGTAGTGTACACACGCTTTGTTTTTATCTGTTTAATTACTTGGAATAAAGTTTTAGAAGGGATAAAGGCGTGTGTTGTTCTACATGTGCATGAAGCAACAGGTGTTTGGGGTCTTGTTTTGCACCATATGGCAACTGAGAAAAGAAAAGTATAGGATATAACAAGCTTTTTCAACCAGTGTGCCGTGGTACGTTAGTGTGCCTTGAGAGGATGTTTGGTGTACCTTTGTAAATTACACAATATCACCTGATTGTTCAAAATTCGTTGAAAAGAACGAGAAAGAGAAGATTTGACAGACTTTTTTTTCCCCTTGTTTGATTTTCTATATATACATTTTGATGATAATGACTTGCATTGGTAATGGGTTAAAATCCCCGTTGGAACAGGGCCTTTCTGAGTGGAGTTTGCATGTTCTCCCCGTGTCTGCGTAGGTTTCCTCCGGGTACTCCGGTTTCCCTTACCACTAAAGACATGTACTATAGGTCTGGCTCCCATCTCTGTGTAGAGTGGAAGACAAATGCCCAAAAAATGACAATTGTAAACCGCTTTGTGACTCTGGTCTGTGAAAGGTGGTATATAAATAAAGATTACTTACTTACTTACTAACTAATAAAGGCTGCGTGTTTCATTTTTGTATCACTTTCAGCTGGTGGTGTGCCATGTGATTGGTTTCAATGAGAAAGGTTGGGGAACACTGGGATATAGTATAGCCATCTCTATAACTGCTGAAGATTATTATAGTTGTGCAAATCCACTGGCTTTTTTTGGCTCAAACCATGAAGTGAACCTGTTGTTGCACCGGTGTTTTGGCAATAGATAAAAGCATTCAAAAACATGTTTGTGAAATGTTTGCAAGCCATCTAGTTTTTATCTTCACTCTTTGGGAAACAATTTTGTTTTGTGTGTTTGGGTTTTGTTTATCATATGTTATGCATATTTGCTTTTTCTTACCAAGCAAAGTGTACATGTATCCAATGAAGTTATTAAAGATGGGGTCATTCATTTTCAAGGCTCAAAACATGAACTATGTAAAAAAATCCATCTCTTAACAGATCGGTTCTATCACTAGTTTTGCCAACGTGCATGCATTTTGTTCCCTCTATCTATATTTTTATAATAAATAATCATCATAATAATAATAATTTGTTGTATCTATATTGCACCTTACATTTCCAGGAAGTGCGACAGATTCAGTGCCACAAACAAACAAAACGTACATAAAAAAAAGCAAAAACATCAGAAGTACTAGCAATATAAAAAAGAAACAGTTTTTTCAGACAGGAACAAAGTACAAAACATTGAATACACACATGTTATGGTCTTTGTTCACATAATTTTACTTTTATGATACAGGACTATTTCTCTCAAACAAACAACATGGATTAAATAAGAAAAATGTAGGTATCTCAGCTTTAATCTAATATTACACTTGGCCAAAAGAGCAGCATGACTTGGGCGCTGCCTGCTACAGTATACCTGCAGTAGACGCCATCTCCTATTTCCTTGTGGCTTACTGTAACACATCGAACTGGGAACAGGACAAAACACATTCTGAGCTTCTGTAGTTAATGAGTGAATATCTGTTTGTCTGTTTGGGATGGAGCGCAGGAGTGGTGTGGAATAACCAACTCCATCTGTCTGTGGCCTTGAGGCTGTGTTTGCACATACAACATGACTGGATGAATAATTGAGGGTAGCACCTGTTTGAAATGATGGAATGGAGACATATTTTTCTTTTGGGCTTTTATAAGGCTTCCATTAGGCTACAACAATGTATTAATTCAACTGTGAATGCTCTGTCTATTCAACCCAACCTAGCATTAAAAGCACATGCAAATGTTTGGCTTCGAGAGATCTATGTCCTGTGTGTAGAAGCAGGAACAGGATCTAAACATGATGGACCGGCACAGTTTGTTTATACTGTGCTAATGTAATGTGAAGGCTGAGAGAAGTCATTTATAAAGTGGATAAATTAAAGTTAGGGTTGTCGACTAAAGTCATTATGAAAGTTTGTGTGTTTGTTTTTCATTTAGATCCGCATTAGCTACTGAATCATACAGTAGCTATTCTTCCTGGGGTCTGAGTATTTGGATAATTGATTCATCTTGTGATTATGGCTTTGATTTATTGAGTCGTTGTTGAGAAGACAAATGTGATATTTTATGGCCAAACTGATCAAACTGAAGTGAAGCCACCAGAAGACAACCTCAAAGACGTTATTCCCCCTGAACTGAGTCACTTCTCACCACGCACTTATCTGTTGTTCTTTTGTTGCTATAAACAAGACATTTACACTATTTCTTGTAATTGCTGCTCGGTTTAAACCTTAAATCTACAGCACATTTGTGTTTTGAAGCAACAATGAATCCATGACAAAAACAGGATTATTGGAGAAAGTTGAATAGGTATGATTATTACATGGCTCCTCACAGCAGCAGTAGAACGCTCCATTGATTTGAATGTAATTTCAAAACGTTCTACCGGTCATTATTTTTTATAACGGACCTCTCAAAACAATAATGACTGCTGCCCATGGCAACGCACTCTCTGCTTGTATTTCAAATGCGTGGATAACTCCGCGAGTAGTTCCGGCCACTCCGGAGCTAGCCACTCTCAATAAACGCAAATACCAATCAATCAACACACGATGTTAATCGGAGAATACTTATACATTTACATTCTTCACACACGTGCACGGAGATTTTCAGAATTTACTGCTCTTGTCTTCATGACAAAAATACTATGTATCTGCGTCAAAAAGCGATCATGAAAAACCCGGAAGTAGTTCCAGCCACTCCGGAGCTAGCCACGCTCTTTAAACGCAAATGCCAATCAATCAACGCCATTAAATGTTAATCGGAGAGTACATTATACATATACATTCTTAATACAAGTGCACGGAAGTTTTCAGAATTTTCCGTTTACGTTTTCATGACAAAAACACTGATATAATGCGAGAAAAGGCGATCCCGAAAAACCCGGAAGTAGATACCGGCACATTTTAGGACACATTTGCAGAGGATCGAATTATGGATTTAGGTTAGGTTTATGTTTGGGTCACTCACCGCTGATGTTCACAATTCTTTGTTCAGTTTTCATGCAGTTCATGCGCGTCGGGGTCCGCTTCGCCCTGTCGGTACTGCGTACTATACGTTATCCCTTTCTTAATCGATGAAGGCGTGTAGGTATGAATCAGGGTGTAGGTTAGGGGTTGGCGATATGGACAAAAACTAATATCTCGATATTTTTTTACCAACTCCCGATAACGATATTGTCACGATAACTTTAAAATCCATCACTTTTACACACAGTGATCTGTAATGTTTTGCTTGCCTGGCCATCTATGGATAGAGAAAGTGTCTATCAAAATAGAAGCTTTTTATTTGTAAAGTGCTTCACACATCTTTGCGAAACATGCGCTAACATGTATTAACATTAAAATCAAATTCAAGTAACACAGAAAGAACACATCCAAAAAGGCTGGTCTTAATATTTTCTGAAATGTACAAATAAAGCAGCGATTGGCTTTTTAGGCACACATTAGACAAATGGGCATCTTTCCTTCTCTATTTGTAATATGTATTGAAAAATGAACATTAAAAAAAAACAAAACACGTAAACTTGTCAAGGCTCAAAGCTAACTTTTAAGTATAATCAGACCACAACATTCAGATGTGAAAACTTGAGAGAGAACCAAACTGTTTAGAGAGCGAGGAATTACTTACTTTTTTTTTTTTTAAAGCTGGAGTACCTCATTTTAAAACCACACAAAATTACCTGTGCAAAACAAACCATATCACAAGTTCCTAGTTCTCAAAACTGTCTAGATCTCAAAGACAACACTTTTTCTAACAAAGCGAAGTCAGCGTGTTGCGGTCTGATTTGATCTCAACATTTTACTTTCACAAGACTTACTGTTGGGGACAAATACATTAATTATTAAACAAACAGGTTAGGCACCTCAGCTTTAAATAGTTAGTGCTTTGAACACTGTAGGTTCTCCAGCTTCAAGTTTATCCAACCCAAACATCTTCCTCTACAGTCTGCATTCCATTTTTTAGTTCACGTTGGTTAGTCCCAGCGCATTTCTCAGCCTAGTCAATGGCTAAACACTCAATAGAACTTCCCACTTGAGTGCTCCTTAAAATTAAAGTTGTTAAACAGTAACTCACATGGTTTACCTTCACCAGACTATAATTTCTCTATAATAACAAACCATTTATGGAGAGCTCTCGGTTTTTTTGGAGTGGTAGTTAGTGATTCACTGTTTGATGTCTTTTGGCTGCTCATAATAATGTAGTACATGTATCATTAACTGCTCTCTTGCTAATTCCACCTGCTCTCCTCAGAATAGACTGTGTTTACTTGGCTACGCTCTGACGATGGCCCTATGAGAAGAACAACAGCAGGGAGACGGCAGGTCAGGGACTGCTGTTTAGAGAAATAAGAGAAAGTTGTGACGGCAAAAAGACAGAGATATGAATCATTTTATTAGCAGTATAAAAATTGATCATCTCATTACGCCAATAATAGATGTGAGTTTGTGTGATTAATTTGATGTTAATGTCTATATTTTCTTTGATTTTGATCATATGAGGGTTTCATTCAATAAGGGTTAATGGCAACTGATCCGTTATGGAAATAGGTGTCAACTAATATATAAATTAGTGACTCATTTCAATCGTGCTCGGGTCGAAGGAAAGAAAAACGTATTCAACAGAAATAATATTTTCCCAATCATTAATTACAGCCATAGTTTATAATTTGTGGGGGAACATAGTGATACGTGACGACATGTAGGATGACCAGACAAGCGTAGTCATCCTTTTGAGGCCAATCCAAATCCCACAACTGTCCAGTTATCTCTAGTTCTGACCAATTGAATGACCACCAACAGTAGTTCTATATTTTCTTCCAAATAACCAACATACACAAACATAAGTCTCTCAGATAATAATCAGACGTGAAAGT